CCAACTGAGCAAACCTGGCCAGGGCTAGGTTTTTTTGTTTTTTTGTTTTTTGTTTTTAAAGTAGTAGGTCTCAAACTTGGCATGTGATAAAAGCAGGCGTATCTAGTTGTGGAAATGAAGATGAGAGGTGCCTTCTCTTTTCAGCTCCAAAACAATGACTCATTGGGGTGTGTGCTGTGTGTGTGTGGGGGGGCTGTGGAGGGGTGGTGGGGTGGTCCTGAGAAGGCAGGCCCCCCTCCCTGGTCCAGGAACTTCCTGGTGTGTAAATCCTACCGCCACACCCCTTTTGGAGAGATCTGATTACAAAACTTCGGGGGAGCCACTAACCAGCCAAGGTGGCGATTACAACACAGAGAGCTGGTCGACAGGATTAAGTTAGGTCTGGCTTTCAAGACAGTAAGCATGGAAAGAAAGTCTCGTCGATATAAAAGATCGAATTTTCCCAGTCCGGACTTCAGGCTCAAACCCACCAAAAAGGCGAAGGGCGAATTTCACGGGACGGCCTGCGGTTTCCTCATGCAAGGAGGCGCAGCCAGGCTATTCCGGGATCAGGGACAGCAGTTTGGGCCCTGGCCCGCGGTCCTCCCGCGGTGCGCGCGGGAGTGAGGACCCTGAGTCCCGGCCATTTCCAGGGACTCCCGAGCCTTACCTGTGGCGTCTCAGTAACCATAACAATAAACATTCCCTCTCTTTTATATAGCATTGGCAACGTGCCAGGCACGGTTCTAAATACATTTATTAACGAGTTGAATCTTCACAATCCACCCCACGGAGGTCGGGGCCATTATTATCCCCTAATTACAGGCGAGGAAACCCAGGCACGGAGAGGTACACGTCACAGAACCGGTAAGCCTCCTGTCAACAGGGCGCCAGCGAGTCAGCCGACCTGGGCTCTGAGTAAGCCGGCGTCTGGGGCCAAGTGCTCAGCTGTTCCCTCGGCTGAGGGACGAGGGAGGCATGACCGGGTGGTTTCTGAGATCCCGTCCGGCCCAGACCGCCGGCGACCCTGCGCGCCGAGCTGATGCTGGGGGGTGAGGGCTGCCGGGGAAGGCACGTCCTCAGACCTCGGTCGCTCAGGCTGGCCGCCTCGTCCAGCGGGTTCCCAGCGTCTCGCCCGGGCGCGGGGGAGGCGGGGCTGCCAAGCGCGGCCCTCCACCCAACAAGTCGCCGCCTAGACGCTAAGCCCTAGGCTCCGATCCTGGGAGAACAGACTTCTGGCCCTTCTCAGGTAACCATGTCTGGACAGCCCAGCGACTCAGCAGAGAGAGGGCAAGAAGCCAGGCGGCACGACTCGGATTGAGGAGAGGACGACGAAAACAGTCGAGCAACCTGGTGACTGCACCACCACGTAGTCCCTTTAACCCTCTAAACTTTCTCCCAGCATTCGCGACCCTCGGCAGCCTCACACTGGCTGAAAAACAGGTGTACCCGCCCCCTCTCTTTATCTACTGGCTGCCGTAGGCATCCATCACAGGCCGAGGTCTTCGTAATGGATCACTGGCTTTGTCAATCAAGATGGGCGGGAAACTGGGCGGGGCTAGACACTGGAGAGACGCGCCAGCCTCGTTCCCCCTCCCCTCCTTCCCTTAGATGCGCGGCTGGAGACCTCCGGCGCCCGGAGGGGTTTAAGGCTGGACGCGGAGCCCTGCGGCATGGCTGGGCGAGGTTATGGGGACTCACCTATGCGCTGTCCCACTGGAGAGCTGAAAGGGTTCCCCAGGAGAAAGTCCATCGCTGCGGCTGCCACTGCCACCAACCCGTGGTATCAGCTGACAGCAACCGCCAGCAGCGCCGACCCGTCACGTGACGTGTCGGAAGGTCCGCGAGGAGGTGCCGGTGGGGGCGGAGCTGAGGGAGTCTGGAACTTGACCACAGGCCCCGCCCCTGACGTGGTTGCTAACTCACCCTCGGAGGACGTCACGCACTACCTAGAGCGGTAGGGAGCCTAGGGGCGAGGGCCTCTTTAAGCCACGCCCTCGAGGATTTTTTTTAACTTAGGGGCGTGGCCTGGCGATCTTGTAACACACCTGGAAAACTGGGTTTCAGGCCAGAGGAGTTGGGTAAGGTTACAGAGCAAGAAGAGTACAGCTCTCGCTTTTAAATGTCTTAGCCCTTGGGACCTCACTGTGAGTACACACCCACCCCTGGGGTAGACACCCTCTCTGGCCTGTTGTCGCCCTGCCTTGATAGGACTCTTCCTATAGGAGGTCGAGGTCTCCCAGCTGCAACCTGAGTCCTGGTGGCAGCCCAGATTCAAGTATCTCAAATAGGAGCCAGGTGCCAGGAGATTGAGCTCCCTGGACAGGAGGCCAGCCTGATGAGTTGCAGTTTGGGACGGGTTAGAGCTCAGGGTAGCAGAAAGCACACAGAGGTCGCGAGCGGTGTCAGGAATTGACTGTGTGTTTCAAACAGCTTCCCATTTTCTCTGGAATTAGATCAAGGGCTCTCAACTTTTTTTTTTTAGGTCTCTGGCTCCTTTGGGAATTTGAAGCCACAGCCTTTCCGAAAAGGCAGAGAGATACAGCGTAACTTGAGGGAGTTTCTGGGGTCCCTGAAGTATGGCTGTTGACCCCTAGTTAAGACTTTTTAAAGGCCTTTGAGAGCTTTCCCCAGAGTTGTAATTCTATCTTCGTCAACCTTTCTCTCTGCGTCTATATTAGATATCTGATCTGTTGGTTATGTTTTTTCTTTCTCCTTTTTTTCTCCTAAAGCCTCCAAAGGATACAATAACAACTGCTTTGGTAGTTTGGGGCTTTAGCATTTATTGATCATGTTGTTTGTGACCCTTAAATTTCAAAGGCTAGTAGTAAATAGACTGCACAAACTTATGATGATGGAAAATAACCTAATTATAACTTAATCACTTCCGTGTGTTAACCTGTTTCACAGACGTCAACCTGTTTAAGGGCTGACAGCTTTATGGTCCAGTATAAAAATTTTATGGAAGTCATGTACTTCTGTGCTTTGGAAGTGTCTTAATAATGCACGTGAGACTTGTTAATAAATGTCCTTCCCACTAGTCCAGATGCTCCTTGAGGGAGGGGCTGGGATCCTATGTCTAGTTTGTTCCCCACTGCTGTCCAGCACAGTAACCAACGTGAAAATTTAAATCATTTTCAATAATGCCATTTGGACTATAAGGGAAGGATGTATATTTAAAATGAACTTCATGTCAGATACCATCCATGTTTTTCTTCATTTAAGAATACTGCTTGGGCCCTGGCTGGCATAGCTCAGTGGATTGAGCACGGGCTGCGAACTAAAGCATCGCAGGTTCGATTCCCAGTCAGGGTACATGCCTGGGTTGCAGGCCATGACCCCCAGCAACCGCACATTGATGTTTCTCTCTCTCTGTCTCCCTCCCTTCCCTAAGAAAAAAAATAAATAAAACCTTAAAAAAAGAGAGGACTTTTAACAGCAAAAAAGATCCTCCATAAAAGATCATAAAGAAATTTAAAAAAAAAAAAGAATACTGCTTGATTGTATGGAGTATATTTAGCATGAACTTCCTTGGATTCTTCCATTAGTTGGTATGGGGTGATTTGTCAGAAGCTCTTGCCTTCCTGCATCACTGTGGTTTAATGTGATTGTGGGAAGAATATCTTGGCTTTACTGCCAAGAATAATCAGCCATAAGGTGTACCTTGCACAGGAAAAAAGCAGAAAGAACTCATCCCCCCAACCCCTAAACAGGAAATGGAATCATATCTAACTACGTAAACAGAACACTACATAGCTTTTCTTTTAATAATGATTTTATTTATTTTTTAGAGAGAGGGGGGAGGGAGGGAGGCAGAAAAACATCGATCGGTTGCCTCTTGCATGTGCCCCAAATGGGGACTGGGCTGCAACCAGGCCTGTGCCCTGACCGGGAATCGAACTGGTGACCCTTTGCCTTGCTGGATGATGCCCAACCTACTGAGCTACACTAGTCAGGACTACAAAGCTTTTCAGTTAGATATGGATATGTGTGAATTTTGCCAACACAATAGACAGGAACATAAATGGCAAATATTAAAAGTCTTTTAATTTTTTAAGTGTTTTAGCAATGTTAATATCAAATGCCTTTCTGAAGGTAAAAATGTTTAGGTCCCTTAAGACTGACATACTGCGTAAATGTAATGTAATCTATTACATCCTTTAAGTACTGTTAGGCAAAAATTAAGATACTTTGCCTCTGAAGTTTAAAGATAATAGCATGACAAGTGAAGCCTGTGTCATAAAACCCAGCCAGAAAAGGACATTGAACAATGAAAAGTTCTCAGTTTTCCTACAATCACATTTGCTCAATACTATAGATAATATTGTAGGATTCTGATGAGTTACACACATAATTTAACTTTGAAAGTGGCTTTGGGGTTGTCCATCCCAGTGTGCTTACTCTGGCTTTGCAATTTACTAGCTGTATAACCTTAGGAAAAGTAATTTTTTGCATCTGTCTCCTCATTTGTAAACGGGAATAACACTCATAAGGCTTTGGGGAGGATTGAGATAAAATATGCAAATCACTCTCTGTAACAGTCATTCAGCAATATGATGGTTTCTGTCTTGCTGCCTCTCCATAAGAAATTACGCCTTTCAATTATAATATTTCACTACTTATGCTATTAACAACTTGTGTTTGCATTAAAATTTTTACACTTTGAAAGGTCAAATCCCCATACATTAACTGTTCCCAGTATTATTAAACATTCATGTCAGCGTGGCTGGCTGTTGGCTTTGAGACAGGGAAGTGACATTAACACTATGTTACAGATAGGACTTTGGATACCTATAAAAATTAAGTGACTTAACCAACATCACCACGTCAGAACAGTACTGAAACAGCATAAAATAGTGTTTAAGCACATGAGGCAGATGTGAACCTTACACAAGACTGGTATTTTCTTGAGTTAGGAGAACACAGTAATGTTCATGCAATTTTATTTGCTAATGAACACAGCTACACTTATCAGAGTCACTCGGTTTGTAATTTGCAAAAGAGAGAACATGAGAGACTCCACAATGTCAAAGTTAATAGAAACAGAGCAAGATGTATGTTACGAAAATGGCTAAGATCAGAAAGCTGACCTCTATTCCAGATGGATTTTTTTTAAAGAAAACTATGGTAGCATACAGTGTGGGAAACAGCATCTTTAGAGCATCTTTGGTTGGCAGCAGGGAAAAGATAGCTGAGACTAGACTATAAATATGAAAAATGTGATTTTTTAATAATATAAGTACAAAACTTTATTTCTTTATACAATTGTAATGGAATTTGGATCAAACCGCTAGGCTTTATTTAAAAAAAAATAAAACAATGATATAAAAACTGCAAGAAGGTCTGAATCCAAAGTTTTTCCTCTAATAGTACCAAATACCACAAGATACAGATTATTATACAAATGTGTACAAATTTTAAATACAAATACCATAGGATTGGACTTGAAAGGAAAACAAAGAAAAAGCAGGCCCTCGGCAGGACCTCCTGAACGACAACGGTAGGACTGACTTCCGTCGGTGCTGACCCTGCCTTCCAGGCCCCGCCCGAGACCCTGTGTCCAACAGGGAGCTCCCATGGGTGCAGATGAGACACGGCACAGGTTCTCACACATGAAATGAAAACAAGACTCTGTTCTTGATTTTGGTTCCCAAACATTCCTGTTTCTTTCTGTTTCCCCAATTAAATCTCGAAACTGCTCAACTCAAATCTGAGTTGAGAAACGCAGTCAGCAGCCAGAACACCTTTAAGAAACAAAGCCCATGGCCGCACGGGAGGGAGAAAGGAGGGAGGTACATGGGAGCGGCCGCCTGTCCTCAAGCCCCTACTCGGACGCCGCAGGGCGCCATCTACCTGGGGAAGCAAGCACAGCCACCTCCAAGCTGGTGCCTGGCAGGGAATCTCACAAGGTTAATACCAGCACTTCTGAAGGGCTCAACTGTCTTCTTTGGAACTAGGAAGCAAAAGTCTGGTTCTTTGGAAATAAGGGCATCTGGGAATGGAAACATTCCTTTTTATTTTACTTTCTTGACATTATTCAATTATAAAGAATTAGTATCCTGACATAATGATTCCTTTCCGAGGCACAACACCTTGAAATGCAGATGATCTGGAGTTGTCAGAGGAGGTCAGGGGAGGAAGGGAGGAAACACTAACATCTGTATCTTCCACATGCTGTTGCTGGTGGAGGCTTTGTTATTAAATTATATGTACAGAAATTTACAGGATAAATTAAAATCCAAGAGATTTTAAAGAGTTAAATACACATAATTAAAACGCACATTCACACGCGCACATAAATAAACCTACATGAGAATCAACTACTTTTTTTGCAATTCACTTATGTGTGGAATGCAGAACACGGTGTATCTGCCCACCAGGGGAGCCAATATGCACCCGACAATCCCGCTGGGCGAAGTTCATCTTCCACAGCCACCAAGCAACTAAGCAGAACCTGTGAGGACTTGGTGGCTAAGCGAACGCTGCCGAGGGAAGATACCAGCTCTTCATTCTGTAGGCCAAAGACTCGGGACCAGCTCACGACAGCGCCTCGGCCCCTACTGAGGCTGCCAATGATCGCAACACATCCTGAGACATGGACGCCTGTACAGCGGGGAGTGGAAGGAACCCGACTAGGTTCACCTAAGCCACTGCAGTAACTCTAAGATGGGAATGATTTTATCATCTCCCACCTAAGACGCTTCAAGCTGAAAGCTTTTGCACTTTCAGTCAACTGGCATCTTCCCATAATCTTAACTATTACATCTCAGACTGTGAGACAGGTAAGGCAAATGGTCGGTGATGGGTCTGGAGGTACAACTGAGCTTGGAAAGAAAATCACATTTGAGCTGTCCATATAGAGATGCACTTGGCACCCAGAACAAGCCCCCAGCCCCCAAGTTACATTGATTTTTAAGGCAGATTTACCCACCACAGGAGAAAAAAGAATCCTAAGCCCACATTCATGCCAAGGCTTCCTCTTGGCTAAACCTTTGCCATTTCATAAGATTATTAAAAACAAAGTAGTTACAGTTCTATGTATATATTGTACATTATATATATATATGTATATGTATATAAAAATTTAAAACCCACACCCAGCAGCCAGCGAAGAGCTCTGGAACAGTCCCATGTACACACACCAGCAATGGGGTAGGACAAGGTTCCTGTCCCAGGATTCTCTGCTGTCACAGTCCAGGCATGATGTAAGCGATGTTGTCTAGTGTGTTTGACTGCAAAACAAGGGGAAACGGTTCAGTGGAAGAGTCCTAAACCTCAGCTCCCTGACACATGCTGCTCTGCTCGGGAGAGGTCAGGAGGAAAAACCAGAGTGTGAGAACGCGGGGAGAATGAAGACAGCGTCCTGTTGTCTGCTATGCTAGCCTTTCCGCTCGCTTCCCCCCTGATCCCAGTAAAAAAGAGGCAGAAGGCTCTGGTACTTTCTTTACACGCAGAAGAACAAACAGGAAACACAGGCGCTGTGGTACCTCAAGGGCCAGAGCACCTCGCTCCACCAGACTGATTCGGGGAGGGCTCGCTCTCCAGCTCCCCTGGAAGCGCGGCGTGCACCCAGCAGTGCAGCGTCACGTCCTGGGCCAAACCACGGACGGGGCCTGGGTGCTGGATGCCAGGGAGCCTTACGAGCTCGTGCCTGACAAGCTCTTTACGACAGGGTCTCTCTGGCTCCCGAGGGCTCTGGCCCCCAAGTCCAAGGAAAACAGGGAAAACTCACCAAGACCTGTTTGGGACAGCCGTTCAGTTCAGGTAGCTGTGTGGTCAGACACGCCAGGGGGCCAAGCGCACAGATAATGGAATCCAGAAGCACGGACAGACTGCCGGACACGGCCACCATACCCTGGAAGGGAGAGCATTAGAGGGAGTCGGTTGTAGCCGGAATCACGCGCCCGACGCTCCCTCCGTGCGGTGGCTGCCTGCCTCACATTCTGAGTCTGAGAAGCTCTGGGGAACTTGCAGCAGAAATGGAAGGTATTTGCTTTGATAACTCTGTAAGTTGTTTAAAAAGAAAACTTCTACATCAGTCCCAGGTTTCTTTCCTACATTTCTTACCCATCTTACCCTCCTCACGACCTTGGGTTAGCCGTGAATAGGAGAACACCACCTCTACTTAGGAATAGTCAACAACTGCCTACTCTGGAGAGCCGCAGGGAAGATTTGTGGAGGTCAGGTGTGCAAAAGTATTTTTCTTACGAAGGTCTCAAATATAGTGCAAATGCAACAACTATGAGAATGCTACAGCCCCACATGTTAACATGTAACATAAACATGCACATACTTCTCCATACATGTGGCGAGAAGTGACATCATGCACTGATGACATTACTTTTCTGGGTTGATCTGTTCATTCTTAAAAAGAAGAAAATGTGGTTCCTTTCAAATTTTAACATCTTATACAATTCACAGTCTGTATGTCTGTGATTCAAAGAGGTAAGAAACAAGACTGCTTGTGCAGATGCCGCCGCCCAGCTCTCGTGCACTCACTCCGCTTCACCGAGAAGCGCTGTGAGCCTCCGTCACCTGGGGAGGCCGCAGAGCAGAGTCCTGCAGAGACTGAGCCCGGGTCAGGGCTGCTGGGGCGGGCTACTCACCCTGCTGTGCCTGCAGACTAGACTGCTCACGGCACCTGTAGCCCAGGTGGGATGAAGTGAGACTATAGATAGGAAGTACTTGTGCCTGGAACATGGTACATGCTCAAAAGTATCAGTAATTATTACTATTAACCAACACCTTCATCCCCAGAATGGCACTTCTGGCTGCCTGCTAGGTCTCCCATTTTGGATATTTCTCAATCTTGGCATGCTGTAATGAGAACTACCCCTCCTTTCTACTGAAGTCACCGCCACTCCTACCCCCACCTCGTCTCAAGGCCTTGCTCTCACCCCACCCCCGCCCGGTGTAGTCTCCTTCCTCCCACTGCCGGGGTGGCACTATGGGGAGGGGCTGAGAGCAGGGACCTTGAGCCACAAATTCAGGCCTCCATTTCAGCCCCTAGAGGCTGAACTTCAGATCTAGTTCATTAAACCTCTCTAAGTCTCTGCTGCTGCTTTTTGCTTCTGTAAAATAGGAGGATCAAAGACTCTGCTTCACAAGGCTGCAGTGTGAATTAAATGAAAGGATCCATATGAGGCACTCTGAAGCAAAGCTGGCGGAGTAACCACTCAAAGAAGACGAGCTATTAGTAATATTACTCCATTCCTTTTGCCTTACAGTTCATCACAGCCAGTATTTTATGCCTGACTCTCCTGACGGACAATAAGCAACTGGAGGGCAGGAACCACGTCCTATGCCTTTTCATGGCCTCCCAGTAACTACTGGTGTTTCACACATAGTAAGTTCTCAAAAAACACACACTGGATTAATTCAAATCTTTGTTGTATCCAGACAAGACTATGGTTACAACTTCTCCCCAACTCTGCTCTCTCTTCACTCAGTCTGCACAGAAGCTATTCGCAGAGAAAACCAAATGAGAGCTCTGACCACATCCCTGCCCATCGACACCCCTGCAGTCTCTGAGCCGCAAAGTGCAGACACCCGCGACGCCTGGGAAGACCCTCTGTAGTTTGGGCTGCAGCCTTGCTATTCAGCCTTCCTGCACCTTCCGCCCTGGATGGCCCGGCTGTTCATCATTTTAGCAGTAAAACCCGTTTTCAAATAAAACCTTATGTGGACCCCAACACATAAAAGAGCTACAAGATCTGGTTATAGGGGGAGTGCGGTCATTCCTGGACCTCCTTTGACCAGTTTTGCAGAAGACCCCAAGGCTGAGCAACAGATGTACATGGTTCCCGGGTTTGCAAGGCCCCTCGCTAACACCTCCATGGGACAAACTCCTGCTCATCTGCCCGTCCGGCCCCGGGCGGAAAAGTGCCTCCCAGCACATAGCCTCTCCGACCCCCTAACTCGCTCTGCCCCCATCACTGCTCTGCCCCAGCTGGCGCAGAACACTGGAGTGGGGATAGGTTGGGGTGAGGCAGGCTGGGCGCTGTCACCAATCACTGTGTCGCATCTCATTAGGTTCAGGTATTCGATTTTTAAGTGAGCAAACTGTAAAATCGGTGTTCCACAAGTGCAATATATAATTGCAGATGGCATAGAGGTGAACATGAATTATTCTGAAAGGCATCCATTTTGATGTACATTAGGAAAAAACCAGAATATCACACTCATGATATTTAGGATATCATTGTGAAAGCATGGACAGATTTATTTTCATAAACATATAAAGTAAATAATAGTGTAAGTGGTACACGAAAATTGCAAAATTGTGAGGATACAAGCACGCTAAAGTCTTGGAAAAAGCGGAGCGGAGGGGAAAGGGGGAATGACTGCTAATGCGTGTGGGGTTTCCTTTGGGGAAAATGAAGATGTTCTGGAATTAGTAGGAATGGGTCCACAGTTCTGTGAATATACTGAAACCCACTAAATCCTACATTTAAAATAACTGAATTTTATGGTACGTGAATTACACCTCAGTAAGACTTGTATAAACAAAGAAGACTAGAGATCCTGCAAAACTCCCTGTTTTGGTCACCTTGTATGTGGGACTCAGAGCAACTGCTCAAAGAAGCTTCCTTGACCTTGGCGCCTGGGGATCTATTCTCCCTTTGTAACCAGACCCTGCATTCCCTGAGGACAGCAAACAACAAGGAAGCTATTCAGAGTTTCTACTGCCTCCAGGTTCTGGAATAATGCCTTGTACTCAATAAATACTTGCTAAACTAAATGGAACTATGATGAATAATCTGGAATATGAATGTGCATAAAACAAGTCATTTAAAATTCTAACTTTTTAGCACACGTAAGAATGTATAAATATGAAAAATGACTAAGGATTTCAGAATATTTTATTTTGGAAATACCTGTATCCATTTACATCAGCCTACATGAAAGTACTCTAGTTGTTTTGACGTATCTAGAAAACACTATTGTTATAACTGCTCAATTTTGAAACTAGCCAAAGAACTTAGATACAGCTTCATCTCTGGTGGCCACTGGCATTTCATTTGTTGACTAATAATTCAACTTCCATATAGAAGCAAATGAATGGTTTTATATTCCTACACTGACTTTCAGCTTAAAATGGCTTTGGTAGTTTCGACTGATTTCTTTGCTGAAATGTCCTATTAGAACCCAGTGGAAAACTGCAATACCACGCTGCGGAGTTAGCCAAGGGGGCAATACAATTACAAATGGAGTATGGTAATAGAAATGGAACATGACGGCTTGGCAGGTTAAGTGACTTTGAGGCTTAAAAGGACAAAGATCACCCCAGGGCACACTGCACTGTGTAGAGCAGAGTTCAAGTGCAGAGCAGAGTAATCAAGAGCTTAAGAACCTCAATTTCCCTATTTGCTACCGATTTGCAAAAAAATAGAGGAACTCTTAATCCTCTATACATTCTAATTTGCTCAAAATCTTGCTGGAAATGGGCAGAAAACCCTAAAATGTCTTAGAAGTACAAGTGATCAAAACGTCCATGGGGTTTGTACTTGGTTTTTCCACTGTATTAAAAAAAATAAGTTTAGCCCTGGCTGGTGTAGCTCAGTGGATTGAGCACGGGCTGCGAACCAAAGTGTCGCAGGTTTGATTCCCAGTCAGGGTACATGTCTGGGTTGCAGGCCATGACCCCCAGCAACCGCACATTGATATTTCTCCCTCTCTCTCTTCCTCCCTCCCTTCCCTCTCTAAAAAATAAATAAATAAAAAATCTAAAAAAAAAGTGTTTAAAAAATATCTTGGAAAAAATAAACAAAGCATAATTTAAAAAAAATAAGTTTATAGGGTTATATGTCAACTGTATCTTAATAAAGCTGGGGAAAATATTACAGGGTATTGTAATTTCTTTTTGTGCTGTTGTTTCAATAGGATGGTATTAGTGTAAACTTTGATTTCAACTCTCTAGGAGTTTCTATTACTATGTGTCTTCCTTATCACCGCATCTGGAACACCTGGCACAACCCAGCACAGAGGAGCTGCCGAATACACGCGTGTGGAGAGAGTGAATGGACCCACATTCTACCAGACGCCGGAGTCAGGCTGCGGACAGCAGTGCTCACCTCTGTCTCCTGCAGGCGGTGTCCGATGAGGCTGAGGGACTCGCCCAGCAGCTGTAGATGAGCAGCAACGTCAATGGGCTCTGTCTCGGGGGCTTTGGCTGGCGAGGCTGGTAATAGCATGGTGGTGGGTGGGGACTTCTTTTGGGGTGACAGTACGCCTGTAGAGGAAGCTGAGAACAGAGATCAACTTGCTATGGCCTTGAACACCAGGAAAATATCCTTCCTGATTTTTTCTGTTTATGAGCCATACCAAGCATTAGCAAAACTACAGACTATGGGACAAATCTAGCCCATGACCTGTTTTTGTACAACCTGTGAGGTAAGAATAAATTTACATTTTTAAATCATTGCAGAAAAAACAAAGAATATGTGGCAGAATAAGCACATGGGCCTGCAAAGCCTGAAATATTTACTCTCTGGCCATTTAATGAAAACAACAACAACAACAACAACAAAACCACAAAAAACACACGAAAAACAAAAACAAAAACAAAACAAAACCCCCCCAAAAACAAAAACCACACACACACACACACACACACACACACACACACAACACTTCACCCAAAGACATGTTTACTGATTTTAGAGAGAGGGGAGGGATGGAGAGAGACAGAGGGAGAGAAACATCACTTGGTTGCCTCTCATAGGTGCCTTGACGGGGGACCTGGCCTGCAACCCAGGCATGTGCCCTGGTGGGGGATTGAACCAGTAATCTTTCGGTTTATGGGATGACATTCCAACCAACTGAGCCATACCAGCCAGGGTCTCTAACGAAAAAGTTTGCTGTCTTCTGATTTACATTTTTAAATGCCTTGTTCAACCTATAATGTTCAGTAGTAATACCTGGGTATCAAGATCTGCTGCTAATATAGGCTGCTCTCTCAATTTCTCAGTTAGGAAGCAAAACTTACAGTGCTCCAGGGGAAGGAAAAGCAGGAGAGAGGGAAGGCCACTACCTTTTACTTTCATGGAACCTTCCGAGCTGGATGCTTTTCTTTTCACAGTTGTAGCTTCTGCTTTATTCTGTTTGTGTTGCAGATACTGAGCTTTTTGCTTCCAAATCTGCAATCAGATCAGAGCAAAATAAAACAAATTAAAAAGGAAAAACAAGTGAAAGGGAAAGCGTCATGGAGGTCTAGAATGAAGAAAAGAAAGGGAACAGTACTGGGGGCGGAGAGAGGGCTGATGCCGCCTTTCGGGCCGAGGGTCGCCGAGCAGGCCTCGGACGGGGGCTGCAGTCAGACCTCAGCAGGGGCTGCACGCATTCCTCGGTGCTAATGTCAGAGCTCAGCAGTGACTGTTGGATCTCTCTAAGGCTGAAATGTAACATCCTGGGATAAACGTCTGCCTCAGAATAATGTCCATGTGGTCTGAATATTTTTTCTGACCTCCTGGCTGGCGGTACCAATAGCAGGATAGCATCGACATGAAAAACAGAAACTAAGGATAAACTGCCTGGGTGAAAAATATTTCAGTTGCTTCACCCAGATGAGCTATACCCTGAAGCAAGATGGTAATTCTAATTCCTATGCCACCTTCGTCGTACCATCCGACTGGAAGGTGACTAGGGTTCAGACAGCACTGCTGACCGTGGCCTTGTCAGCCTCTTCACCGCAGGGCACATGAGTTGGTAGTGGTTGAGGAGGACGATGGCCTAGAACCTGGTCACCTAGTAAACACAGTCCCGTGTTTTCACTATTTGCAGTGACTATTTAGTGAATGGCTGTCCTCACTTCTAAGACCATGGCTGACTTGCAGGTGTTTGCAGTAAAGGGACTTTTTCTTTTATCATTTCAATCACTACCCACATTAGGTCATCTTTTGGCTGTTGCAAAATAAATTAGAAGAGGTTAGAAAAGAGAGCCTTCCTTCAGCTGATCCTCAGCTACAGTAAACTGGCACCAACTTGTGCTAATGCCCTCTACGAAACCATTTTCCATTGATTTGTCATTTCCCCCCACTATTTCAGTACTCTGGCTGGGTGGGCTATAGGAGGATTGCATTTCGGAAGGCATAAAGCAATAAAAACATGTGTTCATAAGAAAGTGTACTTACCAGTTTGTCCTTTTCTGGCAATTGCTTCCACACCTCAGCCAGTTTCTTACTAAGTTCCCCAAAATCTGGCATAAAAGAGTAAAAAACTCAGTAAAATAAAGGTTTAACTATTAAAACAAACAAACAAACAAACAAACAATAAAACAGAAGATTGATGAGAGCGAACACTGGAAAAAGGTTTTGGAAACCAGGCTGCAACAACGCAAGATTCTTCCAGAAAACCAGACCGAACCCCACCAGTTTTCTGGGTTCTCTCCCACAGGGAAGGGTCGTTTTGGTGGTCGTGCGGGAAGCTCAAGTCCTTACGCATCTGCTCTCTAGGAATTTATTCGTTAAGTATCTTTCTGGGGTATTTTAATTTGATGCCACAACCCAGGGCTGATCAACTTAGGTTAGAGAAAATATGTGGTGCAGAACTTGATAGAAGACAGTAGACTTCTGCTGAATCTCTGAGAGCTCCGTGCCGAAGATCTCCATGGAGCGGCCGAGCAGCGGTCCCCAGGTGTGAGTGCTGCCCTCCCGCCTGCGCGACAGGGTCAGCCTCATGCGGCACGTTGTTTTTTCACCCCCAACTCCCAGTGTCATTTATTTTCCCCGGAATCTAGGTACAATTAACTGTAGCAAGACAGTGCTTACTATGATGTAAGCCTCATTTTAAGTTCTTTAACTATCTCAGCATTTGTAAACGTGAATCCACATTTCAGTAAAAACGGAAACTAAAACTTCACATAACAAACTAACTCAATATTGATGTTAACTACGGAATGTTTTATATGAGGCACGTGGACTCATACAGCGCATTTTTATCTTTCACAGCACTTCACGTGCGCCTCACAAGACCCCGACGAGAAGTGCAGGAAGCTATTTTACACCTCAGGCAAAGGAGGCTGACAGCGGGTCCGGGCCCATACCCAGTCTGTGCCGCAGCATTCTTGTCACCCCGCTAACCTGTGACAGCGACACATGGGAACAGTACAGTCATCTCATGGTCTCATCACTGCACACCCAGGGCACTTCAGGGAGCAGGTCAACTGCAGAAGCTTGGAAGCAACTGGGCATTTATGTACTGGGCTTCGTACCATTTAACTGTACTCCATTTTTTCAATTTAAGAGATACAAATAAGCTTATCTCGTTTACGGTTGGGATAAACTAAGACAAAATCTAACTGCATCGCTTCAGAGGCACAAGGGGAAGAAGAAACACTGAAGAGGAGAAATGTACTTACCTATGCCTGGGTGGTCAGCCACAATGGTCACTCGATACTCTTTACAGAACACCTGGTAGGCCGACATGTTCTTCTTTTTTGGCTAGCGCCGCATGAGAACAGAACAGGGCAAAGCTTGATTAGAACACAAGTGGACTACCCCCGAATCTACCTACAGTCACAAAACAGGACAGAGATGCACCTTTTCATCAAGGAGAGCGCTCTACACTGCTCACCAGCTGCCCCGGTCGGGGTCATTAAGTTAGTCTGTGTTACTTATCACTCAGAGTGACTGTCAGTCTGACTTTAGCAGGCAACGGACACAGGCTGACTTATCTGCAGACGCCCCAGACTGCTGCAGCTGCGCAACAGTGACACGTGAAGCCCCCATCCTCCCTGCACACAATCCCGTCTGGTGTATTCTCTCAGAACCAAGTGCTAGCAAACGCCAGCTCTCCTGGGATGTCGCTTTTCTCATCTGTGGAATAACCACCACACAATTTCTCTTTAAACTTAGAAAGCCAGGAGCCAAATCTGTGTTCTTTTGGTTCCTCTGCATTTGATTTCTTATCTTATAATCTTCCCAATCCTGCCTTCACTGTCACTTGTAATTTGTCATTATTTGATTGCTCACATTCTTACAGTCCAAGGTGAGGAAAATAAATGAATGGATGGCAATTCTTCGGTAGGTAGTATCAGATGAATTTCTTTTGCTTTAACAAACTGTTTTCTACTGCCTGAAGCATGTCTGTTCTTCACCGTATTATGAAAATTCCAAGAGCAAAGCATGACTTTTGCTAAACAACCAGTCCAATGACGGATATTTAAAATAAAAGATTGTATTATATATTATTATGCATTCAATTTTACAACTATCCATAGACCAAGGAAAAAAGTTAAGTTTTCCTACCTGAAAAGATACATTTGATAGCATCTATCTGTCCAGACTGTTCATTCGAGGATGAGAAAAAGGAAACTCAGAAAACAGTGACTTACTTGGATCCTACACCTAAGCTAAGTGATAAAAGCAGAATGACTACAACCTAGGTAGCCTGGGCTATGCATTACAGGCCAAAGAAAGAAAATAATGTTGCTTCCTTACAGAAGAAGTTACTACTTAAAAAGGAAAGATTACCCCTTTGCAATCTTTATCTAATAGACTGAGCCGTGTTCAGCACAGCTTTCCTTTAAAAGCTCATCTGTAAGCACCTGGATGTGATGATCAGCCCTCCATCTCCCCGAAGACAGTCCTTTCTGGTCCTGCAGTTATGATGACATGAATGCCTGGTGCTTGAAAAGTTGCTGAACTTCTGTTTGCCTTAAGTGTCAGATTTTATGACCAATAAACAACACAGTCCTGTCTCTTGACTTCAGAGTTGCATATTGTTTTTTCCCTCAAAGATTTAATTTATTTTTAGACAGAGGGGAAAGGAGGTAGAAAGAGAGGGAGAGAAACATCAATGTGTGGTTGTCTCTCATGCATTGCCCCCCTCCCCCCCTGCTGCCACTGGGGACCTGGCTGGCAACCCAGGCATGTACCCCAACCAGGAATTGAACCAGCAACCCTTTGGTTCACAGGCCAGTGCTCAATCCGCTGAGCCACACCAGCCAGGGCTGCATATTGTTTTAAACCAAGCCTGAGCGCACACTTTGTTTACCTTAGTTCCTAATGTTTTTTTTTAAATATATTTTATTGATTATGCTATTACAGTTGTCCCATTTCCCCCCTTCAATCCCCTCCACCCTGCACACCCTCTCCCACCCACATTCCCCCCCTTTAGTTCATGTCCATGTGTCATAAGTTCTTTAGCTTCTACATTTCCCATACTATTCTTGCCCTCCCCCTGTCTGTTTTCTACCTACCATCTATGCTACTTATTCTCTGTACCTTTTCCCCCCTCTCTCCTCCTCCCACTCCCCTGTTGCTAACCCTCCATGTGATCTCCATTTCTGTGGTTCTGTTCCTGTTCTAGTTGTTTGCTTAGTTTCTTTTGGTTTTGTTTTAGGTGTGGTTGTTAGTAATTGTGAGTTTGCTGTCCTTTTACTATACATGTTTTTTTAATCTTCTTTCCTTAGATAAGTCCCTTTAACATTTCATAAAACAAGGGCTTGGTGATGATGAACTCCTTTAACTTGACCTTATCTGAGAAACATTTTATCTGCCCTTCCATTATAAATGAAAGCTTTGCTGGATAGAGCAATCTGGGATGTAGGTCCTTGCCTTTCATGACTTGGAATACTTCTTTCCAGCCCCTTCTTGCCTGTAAGGTCTCTTTTGAGAAATCAGCTGATAGTCTGATGGGAACTCCTTTGTAGGTTACTGTCTCCTTATCTTTTGCTTTTAGTATTCTCTCCTTCATTTTTACCTTGGCTAATGTAATGATGATGTGCTTTGGTATGTTCCTTCTTGGGTCCAACTTCTTTGGGACTCTCTGAGCTTCCTAGAAGTCTATTTCCTTTGCCAGAATGGGGAAGTTCTCCTTTATTATTTGTTCAAATAACTTTTCTACTTGTTGCTCACTTGTTGCTCTTCCTTTTCTCCATCTGGTGCCCCTATAATTCAGATGTTGGAACGTTTAACGATGTCCTGGAGGTTCCTAAGCTTCTCCTCGTTTTTTTGAATTCTTGTTTCTCCATTCTTTCCTGTTTGGTTGTTTCTTTCTTCCTTCTGGTCCACTCCATTGATATGAGTCCCAGTTTCCTTCCCATCACTATCAGTTCCCTGTGCATTTTTCTTCATTTCTCTTATTGTAGCCTGCATTTGTTCATCTAATTTGCGACCAAATTCAACCAATTCTGTGAGCTTCCTGATCGCCAGTATTTTGAACTGTGCATCTGATAGGTTGGCTATCTCTCGGTTGCTTAAAAGGATTGGTTCTGGGGCTTTGATTTGTTCTTCTGTTTGAGCCCTCTCTCTCTCTCTCTCTCTCTTTTTTTTTTTTTTTGGTCTGGTTGCACCTGTTACAGTAAGGGGCAGAGTCTTAGGTGTTCACCAGGGCGGGGCACCCCAGTCGCTGGGTTGTGACATCATATGTGGGGGCAGGGTCGAGAGGGAACAATGGTGGTTGCTCCGTTCTCTGTGGGACCTCAATCCTTTTTGATGTTTCCCCCAAGCAAACTGGGCCCCTATAGTGCCAATTGTTGTGTGGGTGGGCTTGTGCACGCCGTGGGACCCTCCAAGGACCTCTCCTGTGAGGCTGGGTGTCTCTCCGTGCACCTCAACTCCCACAGGTGTCATCAGTCAGTGTCCTGAGGTTCTATTTCCCACTACTGGGATCCTGGGTTGTGCGCACTGCCTTGCTTTACAATCACCGCCTCACTGGGTCTGCCGGTTGCCACCCCTTGGCTGGGGTCTGCCAGCTGTCGCTTGTGCACTCAGGGTCCACCCGCTGCAGTCTTGCTGCCCTGGATGCCTTATGCACCCAGTCCCAACTTTCTCTGCTCTCTGCACCTCGACAGGTGCCTGGCTGCTCATCTCCGCCCCTCCTACCGGTCTGGATGAATGGGTCTATTTCAACTTCTTGGTTGTTTGACTTCCATTCAGATCAATTTTCTGTCAGTTCTGGATGTTATCCTGTTTCTAAATTGTTGTTATCCCTATCTCGGTTGTGCGTGGAGGTATGGTGCGTCCACCTATGCCTCCATCTTGGCTGGAAGCCTTAATGTTGTTTTCATAAAAGAACTGCCCTCAAAGGCCAAAGACTAGCAGAGACTGATGATAATAAAAAAGCTTGTGTGACAGCTCTGAGTTTAATTCCGAAAGGAATTCTGATTAAAAAATTTTTTTTTATTGTTGTTGTCTCCACTTTTTTTTTACTGTTGTTGTCTCCAAGTACAGTTGTCTCCATTTCCCCCCCACCACAGGAATTCTGATTTTGATGGGTGACCAAGGGGGTGGGGATGGGGTTGCAGGACAGGTGAAAAGGGGGAAGGGATTCAGAAGTACAAACTGCTAGCTACAGAAACAGCCAGGGGCTGTAAAGCACAGCACAAGGAACACAGTAGTAACACTGTGTGTGTGCCAGGTGGGTCACAGACTTATTGGGGGAACACTTTGTAAGTTATATAAATGTCTAACCACTACGCTGGACACCAGAAACTAATATAATATTGTATGTCAACTGCAATTTAAAAATGAAAAAGAAAATCCAAAACCATTTTGAGACATGGAAACGTCCCTGACAGCTTTCAAAGCAGGTGTTCTGACGGCAGCAGCAGCACTTGTTTGGCTGTAAAAACTGTGGCACGTTTGTTACAAATTCAGCCTCAAAAATTTTAAATGAATCTTTTAAAACAGCTTACCCATAGGTCTGACATTTACTGGAGCGCATGATGAAAGAGTAGTTTGTGGAAATCTATACATAGCCAAATCTCTCTCAATTTTAGACTCAATCTCACTACTAAATATTGAGAACAACAGAAAGAATGTGCTTAAGAGAGTTCATACCTCATTTGGTCACATTATTAAACATGCAAGGAGTTTTAACACTGTTTTCTCAAATGCAATGTAATATTGTAAAAGATTTATTGCTCCCTATTCCACAAGGCTCTCCATAGCTGTAACATAAAATTAAAACTTGACAAAATCACGACTCCTGACTAACACAGGGTCCGGCAGAAGTGAGGCCTGCATGAGTGTGGTTGGCAGGGTAACAATACGGGGGCAATAATTTATAGTTTTAATGTGAACATTGCGCCAGAAATGTCATGTGGTATGCTTGAGTGTGATATCGTTATGTTACAGAATTACAAGCTTATGATTTTGTAACAGAAGATTTTGTAATAAAAAAGGGGTGTTATTTGTGTCGGACCCTATATATTAGATCCAAATCCACAGACTGAAGGAAGGATCTCTGTTATGAGGGCCTGCATTAAATTACGGAGAAAATAAACTAGCATTTACTGAGACCTGTGCCGGGCAGAGTGAGCAATTAAGAGGATGAGCTCAAAGCCCAGATCTTATTCTGAGGCAGTGAAGCAGCACAAAACAGCAGAAAACACATAGTGGAAATTTAGAGTTTAAAGGCCCACTATCTTTTCTCAGCTTTACCTTAACTCATCATTTGATGCTGAATAAAACATGAGAAGTAGAAAGCACTTCTG